CCCCATTGCACTAACGTTTAGTGGTCCACAAACATCTGTATGGATCAAATCCAACAAACCTTTAGCTCGCTCCACTTGTCCAACAAATGGTGATTTAGTCATTTTACCTTTAAGACATGACTCACATGTAGGCAACCTATCCTCTCCCCTAAGGTCGAGTTTAGGTCCCAATTTGTGAATCCGTTTTTCGGATATATGACCTAATCTAGCATGCCAAATTGTGAATGAACTATGATTATCTAATTTCCTTTTATTTTGTTGAATGGTTAGGATGGGACTTTGTGGTGTAATGGTATACAACCCATTTGTCAAATTTCCAGAATAAATAAAAGTTGTGTCTTTGAAAATAGAACATTTTCCATTTTCAATGACAAACTTAAAACCTTCCTTATCCAATATTGGAATAGAAATAATGTTTTTTATTAAATCCGGAACATACAAACAGTTTGATAGACAAATCTTTACATCATTATTCAATGCTAGATAAACAGTCCCAATAGCTTTAGCAGCAACTCTTGCCCCATTGCCCATCCTTAGGATTGTTTCTTCACCATCTAGCATATTACTTCTTGCCATCATCTGCAAATCATTGCAAATATGTGAGCCACAGCCGGTATCCAATACCCAAGAAGAATCGTTAACAGACAAGTTAACTTCAACAAAATAAATACCTGAACTTTTCAGACTAGCAAGATACTCCTTGCAGTTCCTCTTCCAGTGCCCAGTTTTGCCACAATGAAAACATTCATGATCGGCCTGAGAATTAACCTTCTGTTTGTTCTTCCCTTTATCATTATATGCCTTCTTGTTGGGCTTATTGGGAACCTTTCCCTTCCTCTTCCTTTTCTTAGACTTAGTAGCCTTTGATCCGGAAGTGGATCCAACAAGAAGTACCGGCTTGTCCTTTTTAATGGTGGACTCAGCCGTCTTCAACATGTTTAATAATCCTGGAAGATCAGTTTCCATATTATGCATGTTGTAGTTAACGACAAAGTTATCGAATGACGCTGGCAGAGATTGCAACAATAAATCCACATAGAGTTCATTATCCATAATGACTCCAAGTGATTCGAGTCTTTCCACAAGAGCTATCATCTTCAGTCCATGATCATGAACTGAAGAGCCCTCGGTCATACGACACCTGAAAAGCTCTTTAGATATCTGATATCTAATTTGTCGCGTCCGATCACCATACAACTCTTGCAGGTGAGTTAGGATTTCAGAAGCATTATTCAGTAATTCGTTCTGTCTCTGTAGCTCATTAGACATTGATGCTAGCATGTAGCACCGAGCTTGGAGATTGTCATCAACATGACGCAAGTAGGCTCCATACTCTTCAGCAGTCTGATCCTCCGGTGGAGGAGGAGGAGCTGTTTCCAAAACATACTCTCGCTTCTCAGACTGAAGAACAATCTTTAGGTTCCTCAACCAATCATTGAAGTTGGGACCAGTTAATTTATTATGATCAAGGATACTCGCGATTGGATTCTTAGCCATTTTAGTAGTTTGATCTACAAAAATAACAAACGAAGCAGAAAATAATTAGACTATGGAATTTATATTCATTTAATATTAGGTCTTTAACATTAAATGTCTCCCACTAATTTAATTAGAACCTCATTATAATTATGAAAATCATTATTTTCATAGTGGGCTTGAAGTCCAATAAAAATATTTCATGTCCCAATTTTATGATGCCACCATGAAACAATTTTATCGGTAGTCAACTTTTTGACAATTGTATCTCTATACAACCTTCAAGATGTTTTGCCTCACCTTTCCTTATATACCTCAATTTTATGACTCCATATATATTACTCGGTGTCAAATCAAACCCATCAAAACTTTCATGATAACGGCCCACCAGAGTGTCCCACGACTCATGGCCAACACAAAGAGGAATCCGTCTCACGAATATCAATATATTTAATAGAGTTCACAGCTTTCGACATAGAATCATCCCACGACTCGTGGCCAATGATAAAACATCGTAGCATCTCATGTCATCTACTTTTGATGGAAGGCCTGGATTAATAAGTTCCAACTTATTTTTATCCATTATTGATTTGATATGGAATTAATCAAATTAATCCGTTTGGGTTCCTTGATCTCATCGATTACCATCTTTACGTTTATTTACCAGTTTCAGTCATCTAATGAAACGAAAGCGTAAATAAACCTAACATACATCTAATGCATGGTGGGATGATCATGTCCTTTCCTATTCGATCCATTCGAGCCAAAATGGATCTATGCATATGTACGTGATAAAACAAATAGTAGAACTACTTCTATTACATTTATTCTATCTACCCGTACAAGCACAGGCCTTCGAGATTACAACTTGTAAAATTACCCACACATGCGTGGGCCTTTGTCATCGAACGGTCTCCACCTTGATCTAATCTCTAACGATACAAAATTTAAAATTTTACAAATTTCATCTCAAGAGACTCGCAGGTCTCGATAAATTACATTTCTTCAATCATATTGAAAACATAATTAAACATCCATTCATTCATTCAATCATATTGAAAATGAAAACATCCATTCAAACATAATGAATATGAGGCTCATGATCATCCCTAAAACATTCATCTAATGAAATGAACATAAAATATCAATTTATGAGTCACACGACTCGTGTGAGGGTCACACGACCCGTGTGATCTTATCACACGACTCGTGTGAAAAATACGAATTGAAAATCAAAATTTTTCCCAGACTCACACGACTCGTGTGGCTCGTCACACGACTCGTGTGAGCTCACACGACTCGTGTGACAAGGTCACACGACTCGTGTGAAAATCACGAAGCTAAAATCAAAATTTTTCTTCATGCCACACGACTCGTGTGACAAGGTCACACGACTCGTGTGGCTTAAAAACGATTTTTAATTTTATAATTAATATTTTTATCATATAAAAAATTAATTATATTGCTTATCTCATAAGTCTTAACAAATCAAAATCTGTTTTAAAGACGATAACCGTGGCTCTGATACCACTGTTGGGTTCGATAGTACCGTACGGGCTGTACGCAGCGGAATTTAAAATTTTTAAAGTAAGTATTTATCGTATAAATACAACACCCGTACATACTAATTGCGAATTAACTGATCGTCATCTTTAAAACATGCATCATATACAAATTTTGATTTGTTACTATAAAGTAAATACTAGTAAAAATATTTACCGAATGTCTTGAACTCCTTCACTATTGATGATGGATGAGGGAATCGGTTCCCGGTTGTAACTTCAACGACTTGAGGTTACTCGCTAGAGGAATCCAAGTGTCTTCCCTCTAAACGTATCCACCCTATGAAGCCCGGTTCCGACGACTTTCCTTCGCTAGTAGAAAAGACTCGGTTTTCTTGTATAGGAATATTTATGAATTTTATTTGGGAATTTTAAGAACTCTTTCTTGAAGTTTTATGAAGAACACTTTCTTCTCTTTCTAACACTTAGAAATTTAGGATCAAAAACTTCACTTAAATGCAAAACCATTTTGCATATATTTATACTAAACATTTTAGCATAAAATAATCAACATTTAGTAATATTAAATAAAATCAAATTTTATTTAAATAGTATTTACTAACTTTTGACTTTGAAAATAATAAGATATGTTAAGTAGTTCAAACAACCATCAACAACCATTTTATTATAATCATATTTATTATTTTAATCCTTAAATCATATTTAAAGATATAAATAATAATTGGATAATAAATCTTGAGAATCTTTCTCAAGACTTTATTATTATATCATTTTCCCAATATTATAATAATCATATTATTATTATTTTGGATTTTTGAAATTTAAAATCCTATTTTAAAATTCAACTTTATTAATTTAGTAATTACCTTAATTACTAAAGTAATATCCAAAATGTAATTAATCAATCTTATTGATTAATATATTCCTTTAATTGATATCTAATCAAATTAGATATTTATCAATTAATTCTAACCATTAGAAATACAATCTTTACCTTTGTTCATAATTAGTGTGACCTTTTAGGTTCACCTTAATACTAGTAGTGGGTTTACAACACTTTGTAATTTGAGTTAAATCTTATTAACTCTTATTCATGAATTAACCCTTTAATTTATGAACCCACATATCATGGTAACACCTAGCAAGTAGCATGAATCTAGTATTAAGTGAATAGCGAGTAAACCTATTCCGATTACAACTCCATACATGTAAAATCCTTTCGACATCTAATTTCCCGATTAAGTCTTGGGTATGATTTTGTCGAAACCCAAATTGACTTAATAACTATGATTCTATTTCATGTTTATTAACCCGGTTATGAATCACTATTCATCTCTGCCTTGGCCAAGGACTTTGGATTAATAACTATGAAACACATAGGAAATTCACTTATCTTCATAAGTGTCGAATCCTTTATTGGCCACTAACAAACTTCCATACATATTAACATAATACCCAACTTATCCCTTTAAACGATAGTGCTAGCTACCAAAAGGATAAATCAAAGTAGAATGTAATATGCACAAAGTTACCATTGTGCCTCAAGTCTTAGGATTAGTCATGTACTATTGTAACATGAAAATTCTTATTCGACTGAATAAATTCTTCATTAAGAATTTTCATACGGTCATGTTCAGTGAACTTGTTCTCTAACAAGCACCCACATAAATGTACTTACGTCTTACGCTAATGTTGATGGAATGCAACATTCTTGTCCAACAAGCATACAAACTATGTGCAAGTCTTTTATGGATTATTCGATATCCCATCTCGAAACATCCATCGACTTGGAACTGTATTTAAGATCACGGCTTTCAAGGTATGTTCCATGATCACCATCTCTATGCGCAACCATACCTTATAACCATAAGTGATCTAGGGATTTTATCTTAAGTGCAATTATAAGATAAATGCTTTCTCTTAAGATAAAGAAATGCCTTATTCATAATATAATTCCAATAGACTGTATTTACAAGTAGAATACGTCCAATTAGATTGGAACGCCGGGTACCCTACTCTAACAAAAATAACGCAGGCACATTATCGGGAACCTATGCAGAAGAAAATTGTTTGCCTCCTCACCTCATTCTTTTCAATGTCTCAGCTTCCCACTATCCATTAGAAACAAATGAAGTCTTCCATGTTCAACCATATTACCAAAGGAATATTTAGATAAACAGGATATAGAAAGATCAATAGAGAAGAATAATAAAGAACCAGATCAACTAAAAACAATAATAGCAATAATATTAATTAAAGAAATCAAGGGGGGCATTAGATTGAGCTTGTAACAATCAGATCATTGATCAAAACATTAGTTATTATCTAACATAAATCCACTACAATAACAATTGTTTTCAGTACAAGTCCTGAAAAATAATTAAAGGAGCAACAAAAAAATTTGATTTTTCTCAAGTAATGTCAGACAGCCAAGAGTTAGTCTTCAAATGCAAGATCAGAAACTCTAGACCAGATATATTACATCATCACAACACACAAACTGACACTAAATATATATAAAACAACAAAAATCAAAATATTCGACAAATAGAGCCCAATTGGAAAATCGCCAAGAACACAAAACCACAAAGAGTAACAAAAATCTATGTTCTGTGGCGCCGATGTTTAAAGCACAGATCTAAAGAAAAATAGCCGAATTAACACGGAGCTAGCAGTTTTATAATCTAATGTTACATATTATATATTCTATTTTTAGGGTGGAAATGTGCACACTGGCAAAATTGTTCCACAGGGCCACCCTCATTTTGTTGAGCCTATATGCATTATCCAAGAAAAACGAACCAAAAGCCACATCATCTAAGCAAAGAAAAGCATATGTTGATAGTTATCCAAGCAACTGCATGCTACTATATAAAATTTGGCTTTCTACATCATAATCTTCTAACTTTGGTTTTCTATATCCGTTTTACCTGTTGCAGTTTAAAATAATTACAAACTTAAGCCCCAGTTAACTTCCCTATTACCACAAAAACACCTCGTGTTCATCCTAAAAGCAAATAGATAAAACATTGCAAGTCTAGATTCAAGAAAAAAATAACCTGGAAGCAACCCCAAGACGCGAGAGCAAATCGAAGGTTGAGGAGCTGAGCATCCATGGAGGATGATGAGGAACACAACTGGGTAACATCGTCGGGCCGCAACAGACCCTCTCCGTCGTTCGCCGCCTCCGCGACTCTGACGCCGCCGGCATAGCCGTCTCCACATGCCGACACAGCCGTTCGATTCGCCAGCATCGCCCCCTCCCTTTTGCTGTTGAAGCGAAATCGGCCAAAAAAATTGCTTCTATGCGAAACAAAAAAAAAATGAAATAATTAAAACCCTAAAAGACAATCAATAAACACACCGTTGAACAAAAAAAATCAATTCGAGCCCAGAACTGGTAATGTGATGGACTTGGCAATGTAAGAAAAATCTTTGAAAGATTTACCTCCGGAGAAGAGGGAGAGTGTTGAAGAGAAAAGCTGAAAAGGGGTATGGATGGAGAGGACGTGAAGATTTTTGAGATCTGCATACGCAATAGTCAAAGCAGAAAAGGTGGGGAGTTGGTGGAGACGTACTTCCAAGAAGGAAAGGATATGTGCAATTACCAAAATGTCTTGAGGGCCTAATAATGCTAGCAAAACAGTTGAGGCCCTTGAGGGTATGTCAGTCTTCACAGATAAAAAAAAAAAAAGAACTACTTAAAATACGAAAACAGGGCCAACAATTGCAATAAAGAGGGTAAAATTGAGGGGCAAGTTGATGAAGTCTATACAAAGAAAGATAAAAAGAGGACCAATGTAGGGGCATTTTCGTCATAAAATTTTGACACGTGTCAAGCCTACAACTCCTCATACTTTTACTTATATGTAAGAGAGAGATATAAAGTGCACTTATCAACACGTTGCACTTTATCAAACTATATGTTGCACTTTATCAAACAACACATTGCATTTTATCACCACACTCTACATTTAACGTCATAAATTTAAAAAACGGGTATACATAATACATTAACATCAATCACATCATTTAACCACTCGAAACACAAGCAGTACCAAAATTACATGAGTGCACTTTACACATCTACATGTTGCACTTTATAAAATAACACGTTGCACGTTATAAAACAACACGTTGCACTTTATCACGACTATCAGATTGTACAATAAAGATCGAAATCTACCGAAATCAAAATTTTCAACCAAAAAATATATAGAAATAATTAATATAATTATGAAAATAAATATATTTAAATATAATATGATAATTCCGTTAACGAAATCGAATAAATCAAATAAGTATGTTCATTTTCAATTTGATTTGGGACAATAGATTGGTTGGTTCAATCTGCACAATACAGACCGACCCCGTGCACCATAGTGATGTACGAATTGCACCTTACTAATTGTTAGATTGCACCTTATATTTCGTTTATTTATATACAATGTTTTTAATTAAAAAATAATATAAAATGCAAAAAAAAAAATATTAAATACTAAACATGTTCTTTTATAATAAATAATATAGTTTATGTCGGTTATTTCGATTATTTATGTTAACCGAAAAATTAAACCGTTTATGTCGAAACCAAACTTTTCATTTCGAATTTTAAAATTTAGTTTCAATTATCATTTTTTACATTAAAAACTCGATTACGTCAATTAGTTTTCGTCGTTTTCTTTGATTTTATTTAGATAACAAAAAAATATTATTATTATTTATTATTATTGTGTAAAAATATTAATACTTTTTTTATTGTGCATCTTCCCAACCAATATTGTACATCTTATTCATAATTATTGTGCATTTATTTAACTTTCATTATATTACATATTGGCCCTAAGTACTAAATTGCAAATATATTAAAAGTTAAAAATTGTATAAAAGTTCCCTCACCATGTCTAATTTTAAAAAATATGCCCCAATACAAGATCTGTACAATCCCGTCCCAGGCACCTGCTCTTCCTCACCGTCAATTGCCACCGCACGCCGCCGCATCGACGGCGGCTCTCGCCTCCATCGGTATCGCCGTCGACCACTGTGTAGCTGCTCATGTTACCATGTCCAACCCCGATTCCGACACGGCGACACCATCTCCGGTTGCATTTGTATATCTCGTCGCTGTTCAAAGCCTGCTCATCGTCACCATATCATCATCGTCCACAGCTTCCTCGGAGAGCATCGTCGGAAAACGTCGGAGAACGTCCAAACGGTTGTGAAGCAGGACACGAGTTGCTATCCAATCGCAATCCTTGACGTCAGAATATGGGTTGCTGGAGAGAACCGCCGGCTCATTTGCCGATTCCGTCAGTTAGACGTGGCCGATTTTGGCTGTCACTTGGTCGTTGACGCTGAAGCTGTGCTGGTCGGTGCTGAATTTGGCCGCCTGCGACTATTCTCGGTGGCCGTCAACACAAAATGGCAGAAGGCGGCGATGCTGGCGGAAGGAAGGTGATGGCCGGAGACACCACCGGCGGATCTGAGTGGTTGTGTGTGTGTGTGTTTATTTTGTGCGTGTATGATTAATCTAGGCGGCGCGTGTGTGTGAGAAGATAGTGTATGTTTGTGTGTGAGAGAGGTGGGAAAGTTGTTGTAATTGGTGGGGCCCATGTGAGATAGATGAGGATTGTTCAATTACAAGGGTACCCTTACTAAGTGGAGAAATCTATGCATTTGACCATTACATATACACTTATTTAAGACATTGCCATTGTCTATTTGACCATTATTTATTAAAATTGACTTTATCATGTCCATTGATCGTACCGATCCAATGGTCTATAATGAAAGAAATAAGAATAAATATGTATCATTGGATCCAACACATCAATGGCCATGATCAAGTCAAAACTTAGTCAATCATTAATAATGTGGTAATTTACCATACACATTGTGGTCAAATGTACACATTTGACCCTAATTAAGGATAAAATTGTCATTACACACAATCATCCACCAAACATGGGTCCCACACCCAACTTGCCCGTCACCTTCCCCACCCCAACTCTTCCCATTCCTTCCCTCTCTCACACAAACACACACCTCACCCAACTTTACACACACACACACAGGAGGCATACGCAGATCTCACACTATGTACACACACACACACACACAGTTGCACCACCACGTCCCCGCCGTCTTCAACACCCAACCCCGTTGCCTACCGCCGTCTCCACCTCTCGCCGCCGTCCCCATCTCCTGCCGTCGGCCAGACCTCCCGCTGCTACATGACATATATGCACAGTATCCCCTCTCTTAGCCGCCGACAACATAGATCTGCCGCCTCTGCCAATGTACCAGCCATCTCCGCCGCCGTCGAACATCCGCGACCAGTGTCCGCCCCCTACTGCCACCGTGACCTTCACCGTCCACTATTGCAACAGCGCCGTCGTAGGAGGCCTTGATTTCATCGACCATCCAACTCCATGAGGGACGAGCTCGTCGTCGATTGCGATGCCATTGGCCGTACATGGTGACCGGCAGGGTCCACGCCGGCCTTTTCTTGGTAGCTGTTGTTGTTCGGTTCTATGGTTGTTGACGACGGCCGGCCGGTCGAGGACGGCGAGAGGCCGGCGTCGGGCCGTAGGCTCTGCCGGGGGCGGCGGTTAAGTGCGAGATATGAAGTTACAGGCGTGACTTATTTTTCTTTTTTTTTTCTTTTTTTGATGAGGGTTTATTTGTAAAAATTAGATAACTCATAAGATCCTTGATGCAGTTTTCAACTTTTAGTATCTTGCAATTTATTATGCGGTGCTTTTGTAATTTATTAAAAATTTAATATATGCACATTAATAGTATATAGATTGCACAATACTATGTGTTAACGTGCACATAAAAAAATAATGTTGTGCTTTATGAAATCATATATTCGGTTTATAATTTTAGCTAAATGCCATATCAGTTAGTATTGTATATTGGTTTGCGAATCAATATAATTATTTTTCCTTTTATATTACGCTATTGTGCGTTCGGATTATCACTACTGTGCAGTTAGTCTAACGCGATTGTGCAATTTGTATCACAATGACATTCAACACATTTTATGAAATTTTAAATGTGTAGGCGACGACAACTATGTAAATTCGTAAAAATATGATTACATTTTTTATGTGCATTACTATTTAATATCTTAATAAATTATTATCATACAAAAAATATATTTAGTGTTTATGTAAATTCGTAAGAATATGATTACATTTTAATGAGCATTATTATTTAGTATCCTAATAAATTATTATCATACTGAAAATATATTTAGTGTTTTTAATATTTTATATTAATATTATTGAGAATTTATAATTTATATATAAATAATATAAAAACAATCTAAAAAACTATAATATTTTTTTTATATCATAAAACGTATATAGTATTAGATATTATTATTTATTATTTTTTATATGTATATTTATATAACTCGGGCGGTTAATCCATTTATTATAAAAAAAATAATGCCAACATCGAGCTGGAATAAACAAAATTTAAAAAGAGATGATAAATAATCGAACCAAAATATATAAGTTTAAATAAACAAATTTAGCTCAGTCAAGTTTGGTCGCTATTGTGCAATTTGTCAATCAATAATGTGCAATCTGCCTACAATAATTGTGCATTTGAATTACGTGCATTTTTAATGATGTGTCCAATAAAAATTAAAACCGAAGCGGAATAATTGGTTTGTTTTATTTGTTAACTTAATTAGCCTAAAATTTTAATATTTAATATTTTTAAATAATAATATTTTTAATTATTATTTATTTTTTCATTTACTATGTATAATTATTTATTAATATTTTATATTATTATTTTTTTAAACTATATAATATATATCTATAGACAAAATATAAAAATATTATTTTTATATAGCTTGTCCAGATGTTTTATTTATTTATTTTTTTGTGCATGTAATTAAAGTCGAATATGGACCGAACTAACGAAATTTTTATTATTTGTAAAAATGCACATTGTTATGGTATTGTGCATTCTCGAACGAATTAATGTGCATTCGCTCGAACACTATTGTGCTGTCTGGTATTCAGCAATGTGCACATTGTGAATTTTACGATCTGAGTTTTTTTATGTGCAAATCTACACTAAATTTGAATCGAAATGATTTACTATTTATAATGTAAAAAATACATTTATTATTTATATTACCAAAATTATTTAGTATAAAAATATTTTGATTAATGTTTTATATTTTTTTATTTGAAAAAATTTTAAATATATAAAATATGTATAAAAAATATAAATATATTTTTTATATACATTTTATAAATTACGAATTTGATCGATATACTAAATTAAAAATTAATCAAAACTATTTAAATTGCTAATGTGCAATCTTGATGCATTTCACTAAACATTATTGTACAATTATTGAAACTTCAATAAATTATACATATAACCTATGAATCAAAATCAAATATACTACAATTCCTACAATTACAATTAAATCCCTAGATATTGTCAAATTTTCAAAATAAAGTCCCTATCCCTCAATTGCACGCTGCCCCTGTCTATCCCCACCTAATCCTGCTGTCAGCCGCTTCCTTCATCCCCTAGCCGTGCAATTTCGTCACCGGTGCAGATCTCCGCCCGGCCGCACTGCCCCAGCCGCCGGAATCACTGCGAGTTCGCGGCGTCGGTCGGAGTTGTTCAAGGGAGACGAGCAGAGCGACAGGTGTTGGTTGAAACCAAAACGCTGCCCTCGTTGCCTCATTCGCCGGCGAAATTGAGGCGAACCACCACAGAGAGGGACAAAACCGACGGCGCGTGGTGGTGGAAGAGATGCCGTCTCGACCTCTGAAAACTGGTGACAGTCCCCCTGAAGAGGCGACTCGTGACGAGAGTGAGGGGCGGAATCGAAAAATGTAGGGGGCGGCTGCGGCGGAAGAAAACGACGACGACTTGTAGGTGGACGACGGCGGCGGAAGAAAACGGCAACGACTTGCAGGTGGAAGATGGCGGCGGAGCTGGTTGTGGCTCTGGCGGGTGTGTGTGGGGAGGTGCGTGTACAGGTGTGTGTTTCGGTTTGTGTGTGCGTGTTTAATGTGTGACAGAGAGTGAGAGAGAGAAAAATGTGTGTGTGTGTGTGAGAGAGAGAGAGTACTGGTTGACGTGGGGTGTTGGTTGACTTTTGATATGATCTTGAATTACCATAAAGCCCTTAATCAATGTAGAATCTTGGTTTTATTTTAGTCGTTTGATGATCGAATCTAGTGGCTACGGTGTATTCTTATTTCTTTTACTGAGCACCATTCTCACCGGAGCGTGACCCTATATATATATATAATTATTGCAAACTTGATTATGATACATTACACCAAATTTGCACCATTTTTTCATTCTTATTTTCGTTGTTTTGTTTAATTTATAATAGAAATCACTTTTGATAGTAATAAATACTAGAAACTTACCGGCTGTGCTTAGCACAGCCGGCCCATATAATTTAAAAAATTTTCTTTTATTTTTTTTTAAAAATAAGTTTTTTTAATTGTATAATATTAAAAATATTTATTTAATTAAATAATGTTGTTTTTTATGATTTTAATTTTTCTTGCTTATTTGAGTTTTTTTTAATAGTAAATTTTTGTTTCATTAGAGATAGTTTTTACTTTTTAAAAGGACTTTTTTTTATTCAAAAGTTTTTAGTAGGATTTTTTTTGTTTGATTTTTTTTTATAGAACAGGAAAATAGAATTTTATTATCATTAAAAAAAATAATAGTTTCAAATATAGAATTATTATTTTGTTAATAATTATTATTTTCTTAACAAAAATGATATTATTTTTAACTTTTGCAATATAAAATTTTAATGTATTATATATGTAAGAAATAAAAATTTTAATTTCCTTTTTTGTTATGAAGTTTTGTTATGTAAATAAATTATGTTATGCAGATAGACAATATTAAGGGTCTATATTGAATTATTTATTTCAATGATAATTATTNATATCAACTTTTAGTAATCATATACCAACTACTATATTTATTAAATCCTAAAACAAATTACTTCGTTGCATTGCTTTCCAAGGAATAACTCACCAACTTTAGATGAAAATAGAGGACAAAAATCCCAAAATTCATGCAAGAAGGTCGCATTTATAAGTCGTGTAGCTCATTTTTCCTATTGTAGCAAAAAATTGGTAAATAGACTAATAGCTAAAACTTCAAACCAACCCAACCGCGAAAGCTCAATCACCCTCATAATAGTAATGGTAGAACGTTTACAGGACTTAAAACTTAAAAACAAGAGTGAGTATCCGAAGAAAGGTACATGATATGAAGCCTATGGACAAAATGGTAACATTTGTTAAATCCAATCTACAGTTACAATCAAAGCTATAGTTCCATCATAGAAATCAGATCAGTGACTATCTGTCATATTACAACAGACAGATTTACTACGAGTACTCAGGTCTTTTTTCCTCCCAAATTTCAAAACAATGGACGACACAAAATCCACAAAACAACCTGTAAGTTAAAAGAATTGAGTAGAACATTTAAGAAGCAGAGAGAACGGAGCTGGTTATCAACACCAAGTCTAGTCCCCTCCTTCCATCCATGCTCCTTCAACAGGTGAGTGTATATGTAAGAAAAAAATCATACATGTCAAGTCCGGAAAACCCATCCAACAATTTAATTTTAGAGAGCATGAAATTGAAAACAGAACCCAAAAAGGAATTGAAACGACAACCTGAAAGCCCATATATAGCCACCAAAAAATCACAAATTATATAAAATGAAAAATGAGTTTTTATAACTTATCTGAGAGAAGGTTTGCATCTTCATGTTTGATAAGTAACAACCAACCTCGAATGAAGCCAAATGGAGAACTTGAAATGGAGAACCAAGCATTCTCTATTCTTCTCGACTCAAAGATCTTCTTGTGATATATTCACTACTTCAGAAAACAACAGTCATAAAGGATTACGAACAAGAGCTTATCCTAAATTTCATCAGATAGCAAACAAATGGTGATGTTCGCTTGAACACGATCATTTATTCATGTTAATCGTACATCATCCAGGTGGCTATGAAGTTCATTACCAAAATTTAACCAAAAATGATATTGTCGGGTTTCGACATAATTAATGAAAAATAAATGGCTCTTAAAGGTTGCAAGAGCAAGAATGGTTACCAAGATCCACAAAGAAAAACAAATTGCATTAGAATGCACATGTAGTTAATGATCATCAAGGATCACACCAACATTTCTAAGAAAGTGCAGCTACCGCGCACACATCACTACAAGAAGGATTACATCTCAAGGCTTTCTGACATACCTTTCTGAGTGGATTTTGTGTCCATAAACTCCAAGCTTTTGATGACTTATCTTGCGAAAGAGAGAGAGAGAGAGAGAGAGAGAGAGAGAGAGAGAGTGTGTGTATATAGGGAGTCCAATAATATATATATATATATATATAAATATATATATGTGTGTGTGTGTGTGTGTATAAGAGCAGGAATAGGGGAATCTCATTTCCAGTAATTATTTTTCATTTTTACACCTAAAAGTTCAGAATCACATTTGTGTTTTTTTTATTACCAACCACTCCTACATTACCAAACACATTAAGAGAAAATGAAAAAACAGGAGCATATAATTTGGATTAAATAAGCACATGTGTGAATTTAACCAAAATCTGAGCAAACTCTTGTCAGCATCGTAATTATAGAAATCATATAAGATGGGTGCCGAGATTGGTTGATGCAGAAGCTGGGTAATGATCGGGCAAACAGCGAACCCGTGAGTAACAATAATAAAAATCACCAAAATCAGTATATAAACACAAGAGTGGGCTTCATACACATACCAATAATGAAGCTCCAAGAGAGCTGGCAAAGACAAACATGAGGCTTCCAAAAGCTTTCACGGCAATGGCGCCCAAAATCAAAATTTTCATCTGTGGTGTAATATTTCACACATTATTGAGAGTGAGACAATGGCATGTGTGTCATGTATTCTTATATTAATTATAGAAATACAAAATAATCAACTTACATGAACATGAGGCACGTGCAGTCCAGTCTGCGTTGGACACTGAATTTAGGCCTCAAATGCTTTGTTGCTGGCCCGCCATCAGTTCCAAATTCATTGAACCTACAAACACAAGCATTTTATGATATAAAAAAAAAAAAAAAAAAAAAAGTGTTTCAAATATTTTAAGCTACTAATGAATCCTAACATGATAGTCAATAGCATTCGCTATCCCCTAAATCTTCTAAATTGCACGAGATTAGTCGATCCAAAGTAAGATGAAGTTAAAATTTGGGTGAGATGAAATAACCAACAGGCTGTTGAATGAAGGAAGAATAAATTAAATTGGTTAAAACGCCCACTTGATATATTTCCAAAGCAAAAAATAGCCAAAACGCATTATCAAAACTCCATCAATCCATGCAAACTAAATTCCCTTCTATAAGGAAAAAAAAAAAATAGCCATTATACCTACTATATCAAAAATACCAACAAGTGCAACCTTTGACGAACATTAGGTTCACCAACAATGTCCCGGAGATACTGAGAGATGAATTAGGGATACTGAGAGACAAATTAGGCTTTCTCGAATATATAAAATCCAGCTAACTTCACACACACACACACGCACGCACACACTCGAGCACACACAGTAGAAAAAAAGGCAAACACCAAGGGAAAAAATAACATAAAAGCTAAAGAATTACCTCGTTAAGAACACGGTGCCCCTGAATCAGAGAAATGCAGAGGACACTTTTCACAGCTGGGGGCTTCGGCGTTTTGAGAGTGGGTGCTTTAGGAGCAAACCTGACCTGAACAACATCGATCTATGAAATATTTAAACAAAATGATTTGTAAAAATCACGTTAGGTGTAGGCAATAACCGTCAGGCAGGCCCTCGAGCAGTCCAGGCACTTGGACAGGCCTTCAGATTCAGATCTTAATATTGCAACGTGATATGTCCAAATTTGTCCAAATGAAACAAAAGTTTGTGGGCAAAACATTACCTCAAACCTTTTCAACCTGGAAAAAAAAAACATGTGCTTTTATTTTTCAGGAAAAACTTGAGTGTGGCTATAGCTTGGGGGCGGGGATGTGTGTCCCTATGATTAAGATATTAAACAAAATTAAACAAATCAGCTTGTGAATATCACATAGTGAAAAAAAAGAAACATCCAAATTAAGATCCTTAAATCAAACGCATCATTAAAGAGAACTAACAAATATAAAATGTTTCGAACTCTAAATTCTCCGAAACATCTCTCTGCACTCGGAATAACCACATATGCTTCTACTTAGCTCTACTCCGTGATGGTCTTATGGCACAGGAGAAGGGAAATGGACCTATATGTAAAAAGTAAAACAGATAAGAAATTACGAAACTTAGAATATGTATATCACAAAGTACAAAAAAAAAAAAGATGAATGACAAACAATTAAACAGATGCATAAATAATATTACTTGAACAATATGCAGACCCTTTTCTGTGGGAAAAAAAAAATCGCGATCAAGTAAGAAAGAGTTTAGGAAAAAAAAATGCAAAGAAGCATGTTGGAAAACATCCCCTAATCGGTGTCATTTTGAACGAAGTGAAGACTTTAAGAGGTGCCACCAAGGCCGGTGCTGCAGAAAACACAAATTTTAAACGAGAGTATTAAAGAAGCAATTAAATGAGAGGAAAAAAGAAAAGAAAAAAAATGACAAGCAGCTTTATTTATAAGGAAAGAATGATAGCTCTTTACCACACCAACCCTATGGTTCCGAATAGGTGCAGCTTGATGCTGACTCGGTCGATTGATGCCCGACTGCCTGTGGTCTGGTCTCTGATGCGAGATTTCCCCAAACCTACAAGCGTTTCCTGTGGAGATGCTACCTATCGCATGGCTCAGGTGGGCCCGTAGCGTGCGTGAAGTGATGGTGGCAATAGGGCTGCCGGCCCGCAGGAGCACCGAGTTGCTGGAGAGGCTCGACGATGATCAGCCCGTGATTGTTGTGCGTATTCAGTCCATCAAAAGATAAAATAATTTAAACTAAACAAAAAAAAAGGTGAAGAAAAACTTGGCCTGAAATTGTAGCCTGCGACCAAACTGCTCTCAGCCCGCTCCTCGAAATCAACAACCATGATTTCTAAAGCGAGAGAGCCACCATTGACTCTGCACGCCACAGTTTCTCTGAAAAGAATCCCGCCTACGGGACCCTCGCTCGCTGGGGTCTAGTGCACTCCTCCTGCATGCTTTCTTCCTTCTGGTGAAGCACGAGTCTAACTCGCTGGACCGTCTTCAGCATCTCGTCGATTACAAGACAAAAACAAGCTTTAAACAATGCATTTCATGGAAAATGGTCACCCTGTTAACAACCAAGACACATGAAGTCAGGAAGTAAATATGAAGACAATGAGCTACGTATGGTCAATTGCTCAGACTCCCAAAATCAACGAAGTTCATGATCAAACACACAAAAACACAAATGATCAATTAAACTCTCAAATCAAGAAAATTTCTTTCTACTTAATCAAGAGCACATCCAATCCACAGCACACAAATCCAATCCCAAAATGAAAAAATGGAAAAAAATCACAATTATAATCAAATATTCACAAAAGAAGAAGACCCAAATTAGTACAATGATCAATTAATCCAACCGCCAACCACCAATAAGAATTCATCTTGTCAAAATCCCATCAACAGAACCCACATAAACAAAGCAAAACGGGAAAAAAAAAAAAGAATAAAGATAGCATTTTTATTCTAAAAAAAAAAAAAAAGAATAAAGATAGCATTTTTATTCTGTAAATTCCAGAGTCCAGCGGCGGATCCTCGTACAAGAAGTCCACGCTATCGTCTAAGTCGTACAGCTCGTTTCAGCGTTGTCAGCGTCGGGGATTTGGTCGGAAACAGCGGGGGTGCTCGGGGCTTCGTTTGCTTTGGTGGGCCGCTTGGGTTCTTCTTGGATGAAGAAGACGGAGGTGTCAACGCGGTGGGGTGGGATTTCTTGCTACCGCGGCGGCGGGGGCTGAGGGAGTCTCGCCGGATGAGAATTTGGGGGTTCGTAATTTGTGGGGGAATTAGGGTTTCGGGGAGAAGAATTTGAGGGGGATTATTAAAATGGAGCTTCCAGTGCCTTCCTGACCGTATAAAGAAAATAAAAAAATCGTAGGAAATGAGAAGCAAAAAGAAAGAAAAAATCGGAGGAAAGGAGAAGCCAAAAGGCCGCAGAAGAGAATAGCCACGTGTCGCATTTTAAAGCAAGTCTCTTATTTTCTTATAAGTTAAGAGAAGGTAGAAAAGAACAACATAAAAAGAATATGATCTCCAAATTGATTTTTAGTCTGATTGTTTTGATTTTCTTTAATCAATTTGTAGAAGATTATTTGTAGAAAATAATTTGTTGATTGCACATTATCCTTTTTTTTAATTATTTTTATTTTTATTATTTAATCTATATGATATTTAGGTTACTGGATGAATTACAAATTACATAATGACTTTGGCTTTGTTTGGGAGCACTTGTTCTACAAAAGTCCATCTTAAAAATGGACTTTTCATTAAGTGCATTTATAAAAGTTCTTACACAACTTTCACATATGTTTGGTGAATCTCATTTTAATTAAGTGCTTTAGTTAATAAATAATAATATTTTTTACACGTAAAAAAATCCTCTACTACATATGATTTAAAATTATATTCTGGTGATTTTACACATACATTTTACCTATGAACCATTTAAATATATTGATAATTAAGTTTTTCATCTTTTTATTACCTTTATCAAAATGATATTCAAAAAATATTTTTTTATATCATTATTTAACCATATAATGTTATATGATTATTGATTTAAAACAAACAAAATTATGCAAACTATATTAGACCAATTTTCCCCGTGTAACACGAACATGCTTTAAAATGACACTAAAATGAAACACCAAATAAAAATATGTTATGTTACAAATATTGGAAGCTATAACATACCTTTAGATCTGTCCACGTTTGGAGTATATTTAACTAAAGAAGATAGATAAAATACAGTTCTTTATAACTGGAATAAGGAAATGAGAAAATTTGGGGGGAAGGCGAAAAAAAATATGGGAATAATTGTGAAATAGGTTTCAGAAGTAGCTAATTCTCACTTCTTCAAAATGGACTTATTGGGAAGTGACTTTCCTAAAAAGTGCATTTAATATAAAGAGGAAATTACACCCCCCACGACCCCACAGCATTTTTATTACATATAAACTACTCAACTATATTATTTAGCAAAAGTGCCTAACCTAACTATTTTATTTGTAATCCTACTAGCATCAGTTTCTTTGTTTTGAATTTTTAATTAAGGATGAGTTATGTTTTATTTGGATAGTGGCGGATTTAGTGGGATTTGGTTAGGAAGTTTAAAACAAATTTATTCCTTTCTCTCTCCTCCATTCATAGTTCTCATCCGAACTATTTTCTTCTTCACATCCTCTCATTTCCATGGACGACTACAAATCGCCAACCGCCTTTTCTTCTCCTTCGGCGTCTTTTTTATTTTCTTTCCTTCTGCAAAAATAGACACTAAACAAGATTCTGATTTTTTTTCAAGGCGAATAAAATCGACATGGACGAGTTGAGTCTCGACGAGAACTTCGTTGAAAGTGAGAGATGGAGTTTCAAAATCCTGGTTGGCGGCCGCTGGTGAAGGAGCATTCAAGCCGGAGATGCGTTGGATCCCTACAGTTCTTTTTTGGGTGGACAGCAGCGACTTCAAGCGGCGTGCACAGAAGATAGTACAGCCCTTTTTCGGTGACGGAGGGTGAGTTGAGGAGGGAGGAATAGGTGGCGGGGTCGGGGGGCGTCCATGGCGGCGGAGGATAACGATTGAAGATAGATTTCCAATTCTCTTTCTCTGTCAGCCATTTTTTTATTTTTCCATTTTCCATTCACAGGGGTTGGAACTGCATATGAATGATCCAGTCCATCCCAAGCCCAAACCAGTATATGTTACACAAAATATACTTTAAATATACACTCGAGTTTCAATCGTTTCTCAAATATCACAAAATATACTTTAAATATACACTCGAGTTTCATTCGTTTCTCAAAATCGATTTCAGAACCCACATATACATAAAATATACCTAAGATATACACTCGAGATCACGTACATGAGACGAGCAGACACAAAATATACACAAAATATACTTTAAATATACACTCGAGTTTCAATCGTTTCTCAAAATCGATTTCAGAACCCACATATACATAAAATATACCTAAGATATACACTCGAGATCACGAACATGAGACGAGCAGACAAGAAGGTCTCAGGCGATGGTTGAGCAGGTCCAATTGGTTATCTTTTCTTAAATATGGAATATGAAATCAAGATCTGTAACTGATTTTTAGGCAACAATATAATTAATTACTAGCTATTAGGTACATACACAATTAATTGTGTATTAATGGTAATCCCTCCTATATATAATTCCCGAATGCGCTGAGCCTACGTGGATGCTTCTGGTGCTTCGGAATCCTACTTGGCGAAAAATCATGCTTCGTAATTTGGTTTGGACAAATAATATTGATATTATAAAATAATAATTTTAGGTTCGGACATTCCATAAATATTATTAAGCTAACTTAGGTAATATCATAGTACTTATACTAATATAATCCTTTAATTCTTTGTAGTGCAGCAAGTGACTAATATATCTTTGACTTTTGATTTGCTTCCTTCAATAGGTATTGATATTTTTTCATTTTAATTGTATTATTGTACATAAAAAGAAACACACAACATCTGCAAGTATTGCATAGGACTAGATTAATTTAATAGGCGGCCACCCCGGGCTTTCTGAATGGAAGACGAAAAGTGAAATTATTAGAAATAGCACTTGATTATAGTACTATAATTAATTCAAAAAAATAGTAAATGCTTTTGAGTTTTATTAAAAAAAAATAGTAAATTTTATTGGGAAGATACAAAAAAATAGCATTTTGAATAGTAAACATCACTATAATTAATTCAATATCAGTTTGTATCCAATCAATAAAATTTTAATAGATTAGAAAAAAACTAAAAATTTTATTATGTTATTTAAAATAGTGAATATAAAGGAATATCATAATTAAATATAATAAAATAAATTTATATTTCATAAAGTTAGAAAATAATACATTTCTATGTAAATTCTAATGTATAAATTATACTCCCTCCTATTTTTAATAAATGTCGTTTTGAGAAGCTGCACAGTAATTAAGAATCATTTTTTTTGCCAATAATAACCCTCATTAATGAGGATAGAGATAGATTTTTTGAAAAAAGATGAAGAGTGAATATGAAAAGACGTAGTGTATTTATTAGATAGATGAGGTAATAATGAAAAAATATATATAAAAGATCCAAAACGACATTTATTTAATAAATTATTGACAAAGCCAAAATGACATTTAAAAAGAATAGGAGGGAGTATGAATTTAAAATACTTGAAAAATTAATAGACGTGAGACCCTGACTATACAAATATAATCAGAATACAATAAATCTTGTTTTGTTTTAAAAAAAAAATCAGATATAGAGAGTTGTAAATAATATCGGACTTATACATATATAATTCTAAAAATATAATTAAAAAAAATCTTTTTTGAAAAATTTAGTGTAAAAATATGGGCACCAATTGAATATTATCAATTTGTTAGTTATTTATTATTGTTGCATATTCATAATACATAATTTTATAATAAAAATATAAATTATTTTAATACTTATTGTACAAATAATAATATATTTAAGTACCCGTGTACTACATTCAATGTACACAACAGACTTTCTGAATAGAATCAAGTGCTCTGACATTCCAAATCATATTCTGGAATTGAAGGTTGGTGTACCTGTTATGTTGATTCGAAATATAGATCAATCTTCTGGCTTATGTAATGGCACCAGGTTGGTCATCACTCAACTTGGTAATCGCGTTATTGAAGCGAAGATTTTATCTGGGGGTAACATTGGTAGTAATGTCCTTATTCCACGAATGTCGTTGAGTCCGTCTGATGCTAGATTGCCATTCAAATTCCAACGAAGGCAGTTTCCCCTCTTGGTGTGCTTTGCAATGACCATTAACAAGAGTCAAGGACAAACATTGTCTAACGTTGGCTCGCACCTACCTAAATCCGTATTTAGTCATGATCAACTTTATGTTGCAATATCTAGAGTTAGGAGCAGAAGAGGTTTAAAAATTTTTGTTGCGACAATAATGGGAATATTGTAAATCGAATTAATAACGTTGTATACCGAAATTTTTTTTAAAATTTGAAATAATATCACAATTTCTGTTTTTATTTTATTATTTATTTTTTATCTTTATTTTGTATATTATTATATAAATTATTGTAGTTCTACCTTTTGTGAAACATAATTTCTTTTAATCACCCGTGTATTACACGGGTGTCGTACTAGTTTTGCAATATTCCTACAATCGTGTAGGATAAGTGAAAATGTCCCTAATATAAATCACCAAACACCCTAAAAAAATCATTCAAATGGGCTTTTAAGTCTAGAAGCCCATTTCAAAAGTGTTTCCAAACACACACTTTATTTTTTCTTAATCACTATATTTTTTTTACTAGTATATAAATCAAATTAAGAGAAACAATTAGTTTATAAGTAGTTTTTCTGCTATTAAATCTCAACATAGATTTATCATAATTCTTTACCACATGAAAAAAAAAAAAAACAATTTCTTCGCAAAAAATAATATATTGAAAATATAACGTAATACAAGTATCAACCTGATCATCAAATCATTACTACAATAATAAAAAATATGATGATCCCCAATTATGTGTGGGTTATGAGTCACTATATCGACTTGGTAGGCTTTGATTTCAAACCAAAAACACAGTATAAAAGATGTATTCAATAGTTTATTAATTCAATATGTTATTATTATTATTTATGTGGAACAAATAGTACTGTAATATTGTATTACTAGTACGACACCTGTGTACTACACGGGTTGTTTGAAAAAAAAAATATAAAACATGAAATAATAGAAAAAACACATGTTGTATAACTATTTCAACTCTTTAAAATATAATAGAAAGATCATGTAATATTCTATAACTATTTCAATGTATTTTTATAGATATTCTAAAAAGATTTAATTAATTTATTTATGGTTGGATTGAAAAGATATTCTAAAAGTTATTGTTTACCTTAATTATATAAATAAAATAATATATAAAACTAAATTTTTTATTTTGGTTTACATGAGATATAAGATAAAAATGTAATGTTGCCAAAAAGATAAGAATTTGGAGTTGGAGGATATAAGAATCTTATTTATTTGGGAAGCTTTAAAAGATAAGAATCCTATTTATTTTGGAATTGGAGGATTTACACGGCATATAAGTTTGAGGGTCAAAAATCTTATTAAGTATTTTATTTTAAATAATTAGGAATGTATCCGAATCAAAAGCCGAAGCATGTAATGTTGCCAAGTAAGTTTTTAAGTATTTTATTTTAAATAATTAGGAATGTATCCGAACCAAAAGCCGAAGCATGCAATGTTGGCAAGTAAGCTTTTAAGTATTTTATTTTAAATAATTAGGAATGTATCCGACCAAAAGCCGAAGCATGTAATGTTGCCAAGTAAGATTCCGAAGCGGGCGAGGCAGCCATTTAGGCTCAACACGTTTTCAAATTATGTTGCCAAGTAAGTTTTTAAGTATTTTATTTTAAATAATTAGGAATGTATCCGAACCAAAAGCCGAAGCATGTAATGTTGCCAAGTAAGCTTTTAAGTATTTTATTTTATGAATGTATCCGAACCAAAAGCCGAAGCATGTAATGTTGCCAAGTAAGCTTTTAAGTATTTTATTTTAAATAATTAGGAATGTATCTGAACCAAAGCCGAGGCATGTAATGTTGCCAAGTAAGATTCCGAAGCGTGCGAGACAGCCATTTAGGCTCTATCCGTTTTCAAATTAAATTATGTTGCCAAGTAAGTTTTTAAGTATTTTATTTTAAATAATTATGAATGTATCCGAACCAAAAGCCGAAGCATGTAATGTTGCCAAGTAAGCTTTTAAGTATTTTATTTTAAATAATTAGGAATGTATCCGAACCAAAGCCGAAACATGTAATGTTGCCAAGTAAGATTCCGAAGTGTGCCAGGCAGCCATTTAGGCTCAACACGTTTTCAAATTATATTAAGAGGGGATAAGCTTTAGTATATATATATGATAAATTATAAATTATTTTTTAATCTTTAATTATTTATCCACCAGGGGTCAAGCCCTAGTTCTACCAGAGTTGAAGGACTCAATTGAAAACGCCAAAACTGTCGATAAGTTAACGTTGCAAGTTGAAACACGCAATACGCAACACATACGTCCATTTATTCGTCTCTCCGTCAACATTCAACAAGCTCGAACCTTCCATCACGCAAAGACTTTTAAGCACAGCCGTTCGATTATGCCAACCAACTTTCACTCTTTTTTTATTTTTTTTGCCAAAATCACTTTTTAATAATAATAAATGAGAAAGTTATCACTCGGTCAAATCCACACCGTTCATGCATTTCCAACCGTAGAAGATATTAATAGACACTCATTTTCAGCCGTTCGATCATCACCCTCTCCAAATAAATAATCGTTATCGCATCTCATTCCAGCTGTGCCTCATTTCATTTCTATGGGCTTCTGCCTTCATTTCTTCCTCCATAATTCGTTCCTTAGCTGCTCCAATCTCATTATCCGCCTTAGGATTTCGATTAATCTTGAGTCGATCTACTTTTTGGCTATGGTTTTTTGGCCTTTCGTTGTGCCGTTGATTTCTCTGCGGCCAGTTGGCCGTCCGGTCGTTGTATGCGCCGGCGGTGGTCTTGAACTGACGGGATCTGCTAGATCATCGTTAGAATAAACAGATCGATGCAGGTAATCAATAGATCTGGTGCTGTTGTTATCTATCCTGTTGTTTATCCTTTCATTTTGTATGTTTATTGATTTATATCTTTTGATTTAAGCTGTGACATCAATTGGATTCAGTTGATATTCCTTTCTGAGATGATTTTTGAAAAAAGAACGAGGTTATTGTTTATTTTCGTTCTGTCACTCAGCGTTTGGTATCATCTTTGTCTGATTACTCTTTTTGCCATTGTATAGGTGTTATCTGCAGCTTGGATTTCCTTGATGCTGGTTCCAGGAGCTGATATCGTATAGATCTGCGAATCTGAAGATTTCAACATGTCCTTGGAGCCTGGAAGGAATTAATTCTGGAAGTTGAGGTCCATAGTGGACGCAAAAGCTCCCTCCAGAGGCGCAACCTGATTTCTCCTCCGTGCAAGTCTTTCAAGGGAAGTGATTGTTGTTCCATTAAAATTTATTGCATATTTATTGATTATATTGTTATATAGTGGTGATGAAAGTGGTGAGGATAAAACTAGTGTAAGAAGAAAGAGTGTGGATGTAAAAAAATGAGATGTGAAGGTATTGAGGTCAGCTGTGTCCGTAGGACCTTTGCCATGATGGGTGCGCTCGCATGGCAGGTCACCATATAATAAAAAGATCGGTTTTTGTTTTTTGAGGGGAGATGGCACGGGGATCTGCTCGGCTCTCCCCTCTGTGTGGGTGTTGTCTCCTTGTTTCGGCCCCTGTTCTTTTTTTTCTTTTCTTTTCTGCACACACATCACCCATATTGCAGCAATCAATCCATTATTGGTTTGGCCTTGAATGGATAAAATGTTGTCAAAAAGAACCCAATCCAACCATTCAAGGGAACCACAAGAATACACAAAATTTCATCCGTGGAATGTTGAGATCAAGCCATATGAGGATTCAATCACACAAAGAATCATCTACAATCAAGGTACTACTCTTACGTTTCTCCCAAAGATACTTTGCGCCTTATTTCTGCTATTGTTAAGAGTTAAAACTTGAATTCGTGTACCTGGTATCTAAATGACACACATTAGTGGCACTAATTGGTACCCTCTCCAACCCTCCAGAATAACGATTTGCATTTTAGGAGTCTTCCAATTAATTTTGCCTCCAAGTTTTAAACTCTCCAACATCTGTTCCTATTGTTCGTTTGTGAACTCTTTGAACTTTTTATTGGGATTGTAAATCTCTTGTACTGGACTTATCCTAAACTTACTCTGGCATCAACAAACTAACATGTCTGAATATACAACACACAACACAGTAACCATGTAGTTATTAAGTTCAATGAGTTTGCTGACCCATACAACTGTTATATTTACAAAGCAAGGCAGACTAAAATAAATTCAATTGATCAATTTAGTTTAGCATATTTTACAGAAAACAATGACTAACATCTTAGATGGTCCGTTCCCTTAGGAACCTCATTCAACTTGAGCTTAAAATTATAATTTTGTAAGATGGAGCAACATCTGTGTACTGTATTTGTCAAGTTTTGTCCCATTTCTTGGTCACACATTGGGAAGTTGCATTTAACTTAAAAATTAAATCGAGTGTTGTTTGTAATTTTCAAAGATGACTTCCTATTGGTGAAAACATGTGTCGATAAATTGGGGTAACAGAGTTTGTCCCCATATTTCAAATAAATGGAATCTGGGAAGTTCATTAACTAAATTAGATGTTGTCACTTTGTAGTATAAACATGCATAAACAAATTGAGATCTAATTGTATGTTGTGTGCACGGCATCACGTGAAACATATTAATTTTGCATACAGATCCATATTTCTAGATAATCTTTTTTTGCTGTTGTTATATTTCTTGTCGTGGAGAAGCATTTTTGGTTTTCAGCTTTTATAAATATTCTTGCCTCCAATGTGATAAGGGGCACATGTACTAGTGAGATCTTTCTTATTTGGTTAATGTGTTGGTGAGATCTTTCTTTATTACACGAGGGGCACATGTAATAGATCAGTCAATTTTGTATGAGGCAAAAATTGGCACGATAGAGAACTTGAAGGGCAGATGCATGATATGTGGATGGGCTTGGAGCCAACAACGTTGCTTTTGATGGTGTGCGTTTCTCTTTGGAGGCACTTAACTATTAATCTAGCTTGCCAGCTCGAGGTTATAAATATCTAGTTACGTGATGCAATGAGGTGATTCTCTGCTGCTGCTGAAGATGGGCCCCTACATTAATGATTCATGTGTGCTTGGAAAGATTCCGTCCTCTCTACATGTGGTTGAATATAGACAGATGTTGAAGATAGTTCTATGATCGGGAGATGTCTGCACGTATGAACTTGATGATGCCAATTCAACTCTTTGGCATTCCTTGCTGCTGCATCTCTTCTGCTGCTTCTGCATCTGCCATTGTCCTCAAGTTTGTGTTCTCTCTAATGGATCAATATGTCAAATCTCTAATTTTGTCTGATATCATTTTCTGATTCTCATTCAGTATATTCTTCAGCTGGAGTCAACTTGTCAAAAGCTGAAGGCTTAGATCCATATATATTCCAAGTAACTGCAGTCTGAGCAGCTTTGGGAGTTGGAAAAGCTCTCTTTTATTGTTATGCCACCTACAGTTTCAAATGGAAAGTAAGCCGGAGGATGTGTTTTTTCAAATTTTGAAGTACCACCTGCAGTTATATTGCTTTACAGGTGTGCCTATCCTTGACTTCGTCTTTATTACTGTGGTTTACCACACAGATGGTGTAGAGATTGTCTTCTTCCATTTTCGTTGTTCTTTTTCTAGTATATGCATCATTTGTTTTCCGTTGAGCAATTGTTCGTATGTTGAGCAATTGTTTTCCGTTGAGCAATTGTTAGTATATGCATCATTTGTTTTCCGTTGAGCAATTGTTCGTATGTTGAAGTTTGAAGTTATGGTATTTATTGCTGATAAACCTAGAACTCAAACTCCTTGTCAGATAAGTTTTATGATTAGAAGTAACAGGTTGTTACTTCATATTTTCTTCCAATTAAATTAATTCAGCTGGGTTGTCAAGCATCACCATGTACAGGTATAATGGATTATGAGAGCACTACTTTTCACAGGCATTCAAGTTGGACCTGACTCTGAAACATGGTTATCTTGTATTGGGAGGCAATCAGGTCAAGGTTTTATATTAAATTTACTGAGGGTTGAAATAGGGTAATCCATTTATTTCGGTAGTTTAATGCTTGTGTAAGTTGATCTTTATTGTTTCATTTCTCAAGTTAAGTTGATATTAATTGTTTCTTCTCTAGTAGTTTGGTGAATACTAAGGTTTGCTGGTTAAATCTGTAGAATAGTTGAGAAAATATAGGTGTTCAAATGACTCAACAATATTGGATGTGTAAAAGAACGGTGTTAATGAGAAATTTATATTTTACAAATTTAAACATTATAGGTTCAAGTTTATGCATCTTTAAAAAAAATTATATTTTCATGTAAAAATATTGGTTAAAAATAATATGTCACTTTATATATATAAAATTTTTTCATAAAGATTCATTTGCATAAATTAACTCGACGAAACATGAAATGATATTTTGAATGGAGANCAATCAAATGTTGCTTAATATTGATGGTATTTTTTTTTAAGAACAATTAGAGCTGTTCTTATTTGTTCATTGAGGTAGTACTTAGAATTTTAGTTTAGTAGTTATATATCTTGTATATTTGAAAGTTTTGTTTGATTTTCTTATTAAATGGTGGATGCATACGATGATATATAACTTATTTAATAAATAATTTGTGGGCTATTTATTATCAATTAAATGTTGTTTACTAATGTATTTTTTTTAACGAACAATTTAAGCTGATCTTAATTGTTCATGGTGGTGACAATTAAATTAGTATATAATTTTGGTTCAACTTAATCCGTCGTTTTCACTATATATATTTTTTCTTATAAATTAGTGTGAAATTAATTTCACTTATTAATAATTGTTGGTTGATTATGTTGAAGTTATATTTATCACACTAATTGATCAAATGCCGGTTGGTTCTTTAGTAACTTATTAATTGCTAACTGCTTTCTAGGCTAGATGTTGACTAGCTAAATAATCAAATTGCTCCTTATTCTAGCTACAACAATAATACAAAACAATGTAATAGTTATGAAATTGTCCGATGGATTCATAAGCTCAAAATTGGAAGAGTGCTCAATTGCATTAGAGCATTGAGAGGTTGGCGGTTCGAATCCGCCTGAGTCCCTTCTATTGTTTAATGATTGATTGCTTGAATTTTTTTGGTAAATGATACTCCCTCCTTTTTTTAATAGATGTCGTTTTGAGAAGTTGCACATTAATTAAGAATATTTTTTTTATCAATAATAACTCTCATTAATGAGGATAGAGATGGATATTTTGAAAAAATATAAAGAGTGAATATGAAAAGACATAGTGTATTTATTAGCTAGATAAGGGTAATAATGGAAAAATATGTACAAAAGATCCAAAACGTTATTTATTTAGACAATTGTTGATAAAGCCAAAATGACATTTATAAAAAAAAGGAGGTAGTACTTATTTGATGATTGATGGTTTAAATTTATGTCCCTTCCATTATTTAATGATTAATTGTTTGAATTTATGTGGTAAATGATTGATGGTTTGAATTTATGTTGCAACTATTCTTATATTTCAATCTCAGCGACAAATTTACTTAGGGAAAGAAAATCATTACATGTGCATTTGACATAATAAGAAGCATGCAATATTATTTGTAAATATTTTTTATTTTTATTGTCAAAGATTAATTTGATATATCATTTATTAAAATAGGTTATAATTTAAAAATGTTATTTTGCAAAACACGTGTGGTTATTAATTTGATTAGTAAAATAATATAAACGTACAATTAAAAAAAAAAAGATAAAATTGAGAAATGACTGAAAAGTATGATTTTTTACTAATAAAGTATTAGATTCATATGATTATACCCAATTCTTACTCGTGCGATGTGCTGTAGTACACATTTATTTTTTATAAATGAAGTTAATAGAAAAATAATGACTATAATAACTTAAATAATAAATTGTTCCTAATTTTAGTTGTACATTTTATTTTTTTGCATTATATCGAAAACTTGGCACTTTGGTGAATAATGAATGTATGTTGATTGATTTATTTTAAGTATAATTAAATATTAAAAGTTTTCTATAATTTAAAATGTGATGTTTTCTAACTTATGGTGATACTCGACGTGTTTGTAGCACAAATTATATTTTTATAAATTAAGTTAATAGAAAAATACAAACTGAATACTAAAATAACTTCAATAATAAATTATTCCTAATATTAGTTGTACATTTTATTTTTTCATATTATATATAATACTTGGCACTCTGGTGAATAGTAAATGTATATTGATTGATTTATTATAAGTATAATTAAGTATTAAAGCATTTTTGTAATTCCAAATATGATGTTTTCGTATATGCTACTCAATAGAAATGTATGTATGTATATTTCGTGTTGTCACATGATCAAGTGGTCAGATGGTTAATTCAAACATTTTACGTATCAATTCATTATACTTTAATTATGTTACTGGTTCTTAGAATATATAATTATTATACAATTTTATATTAGAATGTTGGTAGTTTCTTCATTCTTTTTTCGCCTAGGATAATATGTAAAGTCAATATAATGTGAATTTTATATTGGTACTTTTCAATATATAGTTGTGAGGTAGCTGAATATATAATATATACATTTATTAATTACAAGCATGTATAAATTATTGTAAATTCATATGATTTTAAATATGATATTTGTATAGAAATTGTTTACATATATTTTTCAACCATATTATGTGTTTTTAACAAGAGTAATGCTACATTGCCAATCTAGTATACAACTATTTTGACAACACAAGTGAAAACATTCATAAAAACAAAAATAAAAAAATACATAACTAGATGTTTTCACTTGTCTTGTCAACCTAGTTGTACACTAGGTTTGTAATGAAGCATTTTTCTAATAATAATAATAATAATAATAATAATAATAATAATAATAATTGTTAGTTATATTTGTTGTATCTATATATATTGAAAAAGAGAGGTCAATAAATCCTTTTGGGAAAGTTTTAAAAAATTGGTCAACAACCCCATTGACTTTCCATTTGTAGAAACTAATTTAAAAATCTTTTCAAAATATATGGTTTTTTTTTTCCTGTTTTTTAGGGATGGATATATATCTTATCACGTTAAAGGTATATCCATCCCTAAAATCATGGTATTTAAAATCTATCCAAATATCATCCCAAAAATCCTTTTAAACCAATTTTTTACTAATTAACATATATTTAAATACAAATGGTGATATCACGTTAATTTTTTACTAATTAACATATATTTAGGGATGGATATTATCATCCCAAAAATCCTTTCAAAATCCTTTTATTAACATATATTTAGGGATGGATATACCTTTAACGTGATAAGATAATTATGCATCCCAAAAATCATGGTATTTAAAATCTATCCAAATACAATCCATAATTATCTTATCACTTTTGTTAATAAAAAATTGTATAAAAGGATATTCACTACCACCATTACAACTCATCATTCACGAGTTCAGAGAAAAAAAAAAAATACAGAGAATAATTTTTCATCGCATATACAATATAATGCTTCAAGGCTGGGGTAAACTTGATACATAATGCCAGTGTTTTAAAAGTCGCTAGGCGCCCGCTAGGCGCTCGACCAGTGCCTAGCTCCTAGAGCGCCTAGGCGGGGCCTAGGCGGCGCCTAGTCGGGGCCCAGAAATCAATAGTAAATATCTTATTTTTTATTTATTTTAACTACCAACAAAATAAGATTATCTCAACATATAATAAATTCACACACCAAAGTCCAAATAATAATATTAATATATATTAAAGAAAACATGAGAACAAAATAATGTAATTAGTATTTCAAAAAATAAAAAAAAATTAAAAAAAAATTAAAAAATTGTCGCCGAGCCCGCCTAGGAGCGCCTAAGTCCGCCTACGCCCGCCTAGACGCCGCCTAACCGCCTGGCCGCCGAGCCCGCCAAGGCCGCCTAGGAGCGCCTAGGCCCGCCTAGCCCCGCCTAGCCGCCTGGCCGATTTTTTCTGCCGATTTGTACAAATCGGAGGCGCCCGGGCACCGCCTAGCGCCTAGGCGCCGCCTAGGCGGCCGCCTAGGCCGATTTTTAGAACAGTGCATAATGCTTCCAGACTGGGTACGTTAACAAAAGAAACAAACCTTTTTTTGCGTCTGAGAGCAGTCCGCATTATTGAAACCCATCACGAACGGGAGAGCTATAACGCATTTTCATGATGAACAGGTAATATTTACCTTTTTTATTTCAATTTTATATAATTTAGAAAATTATTTTAATTAATATTTATAACAAACCTTTTTTGTGTCTGAGAGCAGTCCGCATTATTGAAACCCATCACGAACGGGAGAGCTGTAACGCATTTTCACGATGAACAGGTAATATTTACCTTTGTTATTTCAATTTTATATAATTTAGAAAATTATTTTAATTAATATTTATAAATTTGTATC